GCATCATCTCCTCGCAGCTGGCTGTTTTTCCAAGTGGAAGCTGGGTATCATTAGGTGGGCTTGCTTACCCGTGTTTGTTTACCCGGGCTTGCTTACCCGTGCTTGCTTACCCCATACTTCTATTTTGTATTTTTCGGAGGGAAATTCTGAATGTGACTTCTTTTACTTCACATGCTTGTACACAGTTCTTGTTCTCAGCTTAACTATAAATAGTCCCTCCGACAAATTCCATTAAAAAGTAGATATTCATGTTTTTTTTTTAATTTTTCAATCCAATTTTTGCAAAAAATAGATGAGGAAGCATAGACAGTGCTAATTTAAATGAAAAATTACGGGGAAAAAATGTATTTGTTATTGATATTTTGCAGGACTGAAACTCTGCGTGCTCGTATGCGTGGTGAAAAGTTATGTGATTTGGTAAGCAGTTTTTTTTTTTTTTTTTTTGTTTTATTAATTCGAAATTGGTTTCACTGTAACTGCTCATTAGAACCATTTTTTTTATTTTTTTTTTCCTTTTTTATCACCATTTTTTAGAATTTTCAGAAATTGGTTTTGCTTTTACCGGTTTTTTTTAAAATTATTGTCTTTTATTCTATGAATTTTTCGTTTCTGATAGTTATTCTTGCATAAATTCTAGGACTTGGATGGAGCACTTCACGGGCGTCTACATAGTAAAGATGAAGAATTACAAAATCGAGTATTTAGCGTTGTGTATACTTTGATTCGTTGCGGTCGGATCAGCCAGGTAATTTTTTTTTTTTTTTTTCGTTATCTAAGACACCCTAATAGTTTTACTTATACGGAAATAACACTGCTCCATAATTCACGTTCTGTAGTTCTGGGGCAGGGCTTTTTTTGCTCCATGATTCCCTGGGACAGGACTTTTTTTAGTGCCTAATTTTCATGGCCAAAAATTTTTTATCATTTTAACCCCCAATTCATGTGCATCACTTGGACAGTCCATTTTTCATTCGGTCATCTAATAATGGCCTTTAAATTTCATTAAATTTGGTTTCATTGTTAGAAGATCTCACGGATTTTTTCCTTCATCCGTTTTTTTAGGCATGCAAACTGCTTGAGAATGCTGGTCTCTCAGCTCTGGTACCATCACTGAAACTAAGGCAGCTATCACGAGATCCAACTCTGATACCGTTATCGGATGAAAAATCCGCTGCATATCTCGTCCGATCTCGTGCTTCTTTCAAACGAACCGTTGATAAAATCGTCTCTAAAGTGAGCTTACAGCTTTTGGGATACTCGATCTTTGAAGCTTTTTTTTGTGTTTCGATGTCTGCGGAGGGCGGAAGCACTCAAAAATAAGCAGTTTTTGGCCTGCGAAGGTCAAAGATTGCTAGAGAAGCAAATGCAGGTCTTGTACATAATCCATAATTCAGGGATATTTCGAGGAATCAGTATAATCGCCTTTATTCGTAGTTTTAGCAGATATGTTTGGAGAAACTTCGGGTCGGAACTTTTTAACCGTTGCACCACCGACATTTACTGTTCAGGATCGAAAAG